ACCTTTAACTTCTGACTTTTTGCATACTGTCTAGGTATCGACAAGCGAGAGACCAGGAAGTGTCACAGCATTCGTCACTTTGAGAACACGTTCGTGATGGAGACAATTATCTGTGACCGGGCCTAAAAAGTCAGCCACAGCATCTTCCCAACTCGACTGAGCAGATCCCAAAACATGTTCCTCTACGTTTAGATTTTATTGCACTTTATAGCACATCTACTCTGTACATACTGTGTAAGGCATCATGTCCTTTATTTATTTATTTATTTATTTTTTCTTTTCAATTTAGTTCGTTTGTGATAAGAACTGGTTTGTCTTTCAGGATCCTAATGCCCCAGGTTGAATAATAACTGCCTTAGAGTTAAGTTTTGGCTATTCTTGTTGTCTTGGTAAAACATGTTGATATGTATATATTGGTATTTACATGACAATGTTTTTTTTTTTGTTGTTGTTGTTGTTTTTCCCCTCATTGAATATGTGGGAGGTGGGGTGGGGGTTATGTAAATGTCAGAGACTGGTCTGAGAATTGTCAGCACGTTGAAATGATTTATCTGGCAGTATTTTAGTGTGAGACTGTGGCATGCACTATGCACTGATTTCATTTTCTTTGGTTGTTTGTCTGTTAGTTGGTAAGGGTTCTTTTGTCTATAGAAGATAACCTGTTCACTGCTGTTTCCCTGTGTTAAATAAGAAATCCAGATTTGGAAAATTGTCTTAATGCCAAAAAGTATACCTCATGTTTTAGAAATGTATGAGTTAATTACTTATTTAATTAAGATGTTGTTTTAATTTTTTTCCCAAAGTAACTTAAGCAATAGAGTTTTCTTATCTTGGATTTCATATTTTAACATCAGACATTTTCGTAATGAGTTAAGCAACTTATGCGTTTTTGTCTCTGTGTGATATATTTGTGAATAAAGTTTATAGAAAAATTGACATGACTCCCACATATGAGTTAAATAGATACCTGCCTAACTCTCTTTTGGCTTTTCACTATAAATGTGTATTCATTATTAACGTGCTGTTCTTCATTATCATTATATATTAGATTTCTGTCTGACTTTTTATTTTTTTTTTAACATATCCATTTCATTACTGCATTAGGGTAAAGTGATAAAGGTTATTATCGCTTCAGATGTACTGTCCATGCATAAATCCATTTCACTTTGCATGGTTTTCTCCTGCACATTTTAATCAGTAAATACCTTTTTTATATGACAGAAAATATTGCACTCTTCAAAGCCATAAATGCCCCATCACGTCCTTCCTCAATGTAAAATATTGCTTGTATTATAAATTCTACCTAATAAACTACTGAAAATAAATGGGGCCACTGTCTCTCAGACAAATTAGGACTATACAGGTGTGATTGTTTGTCCTTAAATTTGAGATGCAGTGATTAATTATCACAATGAACAAATTATGTTAATTCAACAAACTTACTATTAGTCCCACTTGTGCTATTATTCCAGGGGCAGTGACAAGCACCTGGACACCTTCTTGTGAGCATGTCGAGACCTTTAAACACAAAACGACATACAATGCAATATTTGCAATAAATACTGTTTTATACAGCCATCTTACACTGTATAATTGTCACAGAGTTCCCGGTACGTCACTGTTGGTTCCAAAGGAACCAAAAGGAAACCTAAGGGCCTTCAAAGTTTTCCAGGGTTCAAGAAGTACTATTACTTTCCCTGTAATTAGCATTCTATATAAACCTCCTTACTGCCAGGAGTGATGAGAATCATATGGATAGCATACAGTGTCTCACAAAAGTGAGTACACCCCTCACATTTGTGTAAATATTTGATTTTACCTTTTCATGTGACAACACTGAAGAAATGACACTTTGCTACAGTGTAAAGTAGAGTGTGTACAGCTTGTATACCAGTGTAAATTTGCTGTCCCCTCAAAATAACTCAACACACAGCCATTAATGTCTAAACCACAGGCAACAAAAATTAGTACACCCCTAGGTGAAAATGTCCAAATTGGGCCCAAAGTGTCAATATTTTTTGTGGCCACAATTATTTTCCAGCACTGCCTTAACCCAAGGGAGTTCACCAGAGCTTCACAGGTTGTTATTGGAGTCCTCTTCCACTCCTCCATGATGACATCACGGAGCCAGTGGATGTTAGAGACCTTGTGCTACTCCACCTTCCATTTGATGATGCCCCACAAAGGCTCAATAGGGTTTAGGTCTGGAGACACGTTTAGCCAGTCCATCACCTTCACCCTCAACTTCTTTATGCAAAGCAGTGGTCGTCTTGGAGGTGTGTTTGGGGTCGTCATCATGCTGGAATACTGCATACTGATCAGGCTCTGCTTCAGTAGGTCACAGTACATGTTGGCATTCATGGTTCTCTCAATGAACTGTAGCTCCCCAGTGCTGATAGCACTCATGCAGCCCCAGACCATGACACTCCCACCACCATGCTTGACTGTAGGCAAGACACACTTCTCTTTGTATTCCTCACCTGGTTGCCGCCACACACGCTTGACACCATCTGAACCAAATAAGTTTATCTTGGTCTCATAAGACCACAGGACATGGTTCCAGTAATCGATGTCTTTAGTCTGCTTGTCTTCAGCAAACTGTTTGCGAGCTTTCTTGTGCATCATCTTTAGAGGAGGCTTCCTTCTGGGATGACAGCCATGCAGACCAATTTGATGCAGTGTGCAGCGTATGGTCTGAGCACTGACAGGCTGACCCCCCACCCCTTCAACCTCTGCAGCAATGCTGGCAGTACTCATATGTCTATTTCCCAAAGACAAACTCTGGATATGACGCTGAGCACATGCACCCAAGTTCTTTGGTCGACCATGGCGAGGCCTGTACTGAATGGAATCTGTCCTGTTAAACCGCTGTATGGTCTTGACCATGGTGCTGCAGCTCAGTTTCAGGGTCTTGTCAATCTTCTTATAGCCTAGGCCATCTTTATGTAGAGCAACAATTGTTTTTTTCAGATCCTCAGAGAGTTCTTTGCCATGTGGTACCATGTTGAACTTCTAGTGACGAGTATGAGGGAGTGTGAGAGCGATGACACCAAATTTAACACACTTGCTCCCCATTCACACCTGAGACCTTGTAACACTAACAAGTCACATGACACCGGGGAGGGAAAATGGCTAATTGGGCCCAATTTGGACATTTTCACTTAGGGGTGTACTCACTTTTGTTGTCAGCGGTTTAGACATTAATGGCTGTGTGTTGAGTTATTTTGAGGGAACAGCAAATTTACACAGTTACACAAGCTGTACACTCACTACTTTACATTGTAGAAAAGTGTCATTTCTGCTGTGTTGTCACATGAAAAGATATAATCAAATATTTACAAAAATTTGAGGGGTGTACTCACTTTTATGAGATACTGTATGCCACAATAAACAGTTCACCTTAAGACTAACCTGAAATGTGCTAAAAAATGACACTCAAACCTTTGGTAGGGGTGATATTAATCTTGTATTGTCTTTGTACAATAATGCCCAAATAGCAACAGCAAAGATTTCTTGTAATTGCACCCCTCTCAATAAGGCCCATGATAAGGAGACACTCCTTGTAGAGTGGCATGTCTCAGGACAGCATTGAGATCACACCATGTGACACTGGGGTAGTTCTGAACAACCAACTATGCTTCTTGCTTAACATCACTAAACTGACATAGTCATGCAGGTTTCTCTTTTACAACTTCAAGAGGAACCTGCCTTTTCCTGTCCACAGAGGTCACTCAGGTGCTTCTTCAGCACTTCAACTCACTCATGGCAGATCTGCTGCTATGTGATGTTAAACCCTTGCAACTGGTCCAGAATGCACCTGCAAGACTTGCTTTCAACCTCGCCAAGTTCTCCCACATCACCCCATCTGCCCGTTTCAGATTTAAAATGTTGCTTGTCTACAAAGCCAAACATGGACCAGTGCCCACCTACCATAAATCACACCTTGGTCTGCACCACACTTCCTTTAACCTTCTAGCACAGCTTGGGTAGACCCACCATCCCTCAAGGAAGACATGTATCAAGACTCTTCTCTTTGATTACACAGGTTGATGTTGACCTGCTATGGCATTACTGCCTGTTGATACTCCTTCAGTGCCCATAGGATTACCAATTTTCCTTCAGCCATGTCACCATGCCTAATGCAACCAAAACCATACAGGCCTCCCCAGTGACTAAGGCCAGGGCAAGTTAAGTTGAAAATAACCAAACTGAGCATGAATAAGCTTACAGTTTGTCCAATCAGAGCCCTAGGAATTGTGCTCACATAACCATTCCCATGAGAGAGATCCCGTGGAGCTCACCTTTTGTATTGTGAAAGGAGCTTTAAGGTGTGCTAGAGTTTTTAGGATGAGACAGACTCTACTAGGGTGTTCTGATTCTAATACAATTTATATTCATTTTTGTTTACATTATTTTTTTAAATAAAATATAGGTTTATGAGATTTACAAATCATTACATTCTGTTTTCATTTACATTTTACAGAGCATCCCAACTTTTTTTGGAATTGGGGTTGTATTATTATTATATGTAATATTTTAATTAAATTATTAGATTTTAAAATGCTCAATAATTATAATATTATTATATGTAATACTGATTTATTTCTGAAGTCACCCTGGTATACCTACAGGTGGAAGTCCTTGGTCGGAGGGAAGAATGTTAATACCTTGTATACATTGAACTTACCTGTGCACAAGTCACCTCATATGTAGTGCTTAAAAGCTATAGAAGTCTTATTAAACAATGCAGAAAAACACAGCATGATATATACTTACATATCTATTTAAATATAATTTCATTTCAGTTCACTTGCTGCAAAGATCACCTCACAAAGTTGCTATTGCAATTGTTGTTGTCTATTCGGGGTCACCACAGTGGATCATTGGTCTGCATATATGATTTTGTACAGGTTTTTACACCAGATGAACTTCCTGTCACAGCCCTCCCATTTTATCCATGTTTGGGGCCAGCACTGAGTACAACCCAACGGCTAGGTTGATTCCCTGCCCAGGAATCAAACTTGGGCCATGGCAGTGAGAGCGTAAGATCCTTAGCCGCTGGACAACCAGGGAAGCGGTATAGTAATTGCAATTACTAAAGGCCTATGTTTCAATTCTTCAAAGGAATTCATTATTATTGTTTGTTCTTCTGCCCTAAAATATGCAGTCTTAACTCGATTTGTAATCCGACGCATGTAAATGTAAAATAAGTAAATAAAATAAATAAGTTATAATAGATAACTTATTGTTCAGCAGGGGCCTGTCTCACAGCTTTAGAATATTGGAGTGTGACATAAGCATCCCAATGATTATTTCGATCTTGACCTTAGTTTTTGCATGATCCCCTTAAATCAACCCTGGGGTCCAGACCGTGGCTCTCGATGTGGAGTTATCATCAAGACATTCTTGCAGGTGAATTCTTAGCAAAATAGTCACAAGTTGTACTGGTTTGAGATTCTCTTAATTCTAACAGACAATAAGGAGGCTAGTTTTGCAGCTGTTGTTAATGGTTGAAGCATTCTAGCAAGAACTAGAACAGCCCATAGTGGCCCACCTAAATTGACTACCAAGCATGATCATGTTTGCCTCCCATGGGGAGGCAAATACTAGAATCTAGTCACCCATTGTCCAATTATGGCAGTACCCTTATGCCTCAAACAAACAAGGCCACTTGTATGTATTTTGTGAACACCCTATAGAGAGACCAAAGGGTAGGTTGATTTGGAATGCTAAAGGCTAACTCTAAAAAAAACAACAACTAGGCTACAGTATAATGTAGTGGGGTGTGTAGTGGTCAAAACGTCAACCTTATTAACTACATGGCCAATGGTCTCTCTCCCTACCACAATATATAAATGGTTGTTAAGGCCTCTTAGAATGTGTCATGGTTGAAAACCCGCCCCTTCCTTTTTTTGCTACAGACTTCAGAGGTATGTTTTTTTAGCTTTGTTGCTTAGTTGTGTGATGCTAGTGTTGTCTATTTTACCATGAGTTTTAGTTTGTTTAGTGTGACGTTGGGCTACTGAGACTGTGTGGGCGTGATATGCTGCTCATAATCAGTGCGCTGTGCTGTCAAGGCTCCCAACTGTGTAGCATGGTAATTTAACTTAGCTCTGGTCGGAGCGCCAGCTGTTGTCATCACAACTATTAAAGACGTTGTCATGACTTTCGTATGTACCATCGTGAGTATCATGTCATCGGATCACGGTAGGTAAATCATTTAGTTCTGGTACTTGAGCTAAACTATCTTGCATGCTTTCCAAATTGAGGTTGTAACACCTGTCTGCTCTTAGGGTCCTTGATTTGGCAAGCGTTAAGGCGGGCTGAGTGAGATGTGGTCATTTCGGTATAGCGCCTCCCCCTCACTCATGGAGCCATGTTGCTGATTGGTTCTACTCTGCTGCATGACTGTTAGGTTCTACTCTGCTTTTTGTTACTTTTTGTTTTGTGTTGGTTACTGTCACTGAGATCAGTTTCCTTTAACTCAATGGTATTGTAACTGTTATCAGTTATACTGATATTGCTATGTGGTAGTAGTGATTTTGGTCAGCTTTGGTAAACTTGCTACTTGTAATTAGTTGAGTGAGTTATCTGTGATTTTGCAACAGTACATGTTTGTTTTGTGTTCTTTTGTTTGTCTGCTTTGAGCAGATTGTAACTGATTTTGTCTTTTTGGTTTTTTTCTCCTTGTAGGAGCTGAGTGCTTCCTGAGGCTGGAGGAGGTCCTTTTCTGCACCTTGGGCTGTACTTCATTAAGGGTTGTTATTATTGCTGTGTTTATTTGCAGTGAGTTTTGTGGGAATGATTCTGATTAGTGGGTTGCTTTTCCCTTTTGTAAAGCTGGTGCTTCTGTACTATCCTGCCCTTCATACAGGAAGCCTCAGTCCTCCTAGGATCATTTGTTAAATCCCTTTCTGACGGTTTTATTTAACCAATGCTTGATTGTGTTGGCTGCTCCTTTTTAAAATAGTTATTGGCCATTCTTTTTAATCTTAAAATGTTTTTTGTATGGAAACCCATGCCTCTTGCCTGTTTTTAGTGGAACATACTTGCGTATCCTTATTTGGGTTATTTTTCCCCGTTTATTCGGGGTGGCGTAGTTGGTCTTAATCGAGCTAGATGAGCCACATTGCTACAGGTGGCGTAGTTGGCAGGATCTAGTAAAACTAGCCACATTGCTACAATAATGAGGGCATGAAAGGTATGTAGCACAGATGCACCTCTGTAACCGAGTCTGTGGCTGCACAACATAATTAAAATCTGATAGCATGGGTGTAACCACGCACTCTTTGGGGGGGTCGTGTCCACTCCAATGTTGAGGAAATACTAATCTGTCCCCCCTAATATACAGGAGAAAATATTTTCTATATGTCCCGCTGTAATTTTCCCTGCTAACGGATCTCTCTTTTTTCTCTTTCTTTTTTTTTTTTTTTTTTTTTTTTTTTTTTTTTTTTATTCATCCATTTATTCCATTTATTTTTTTACCATTTTCTTTTTTTTTAAAATTTTTTTTTTAAAAAAAAAAAAATATTTTTTTTATTTTTTTTTTTTTTTTTTTTTTTTTTTTTTTTTTTTTAAAATTTTTTCTTGGTCTTGCCCAGATGCAACGCAAGTTTGTTGATGTATTTTAGCCGCTCAGTCTATAAGAAATACCCACTAATGCACTTGTGGCTGAATGAGCACAAATACCCACAGCCATTTTGCAAAATCTAGTGCCTTCCTGGAAGAGTGGAAGCTGTTATAGCAGCAAAGGGGGACCGACTCCATATGAATGTCCTTGGTTTTGTAATGGGTGTGGTATGTAGTGTCCACATACTTTTGCCCATATAGTGTACATCACAGGAGGACTTTAAAGAATCAAACAAGGACAACCATTCTTCTTCTGAACTAAGTATATGGACAAGAACCCATTATTCTGACCATACTGTTTACCTGTTTGATGAAATTTTTGGAACAGAGAAGGCACGTGATGGAAATGGAAATTAGCCAGGCCCTGAGTCTCAAGGGCTGGGACAATGGCATAGTATAAATTTATACCCATGAGGCTTGGTTATCATGGGTGTAATCATAGGTGCTGTCCTAGGTGTCTCACTGTCAGAAGTGACCCTTTGATCAGCTCTGTGACAGAGGGATTGATACAGTAGGTGTGGATTAGAGTGACTGCTGCAGTGCAATCAACAAATTTATTAGCAGATTGCCTATATGCACCTGAATGTCACCAGTGTGCTTGAATTCAGTGCTTCGGTATTGTGTGTATGAACATAACGCTTTTGGGGGTGGCTGTTCCAGTTGGTTTGGAGCCTGTCAGCAATGTATGTGATCTGATAAACCTAAATCACTCAGACATTATTCTAAATCATTCAGAATGTTATTCTGAGAAAAAGCCCCATGCTACTTGGATGGTTTCTCAGGCCTTTGAGTCATCAGACAGTGGAGTATGTGAAAACTTAATGAATCACAGATAAAAATAAAATAAAAAAAATAACTCAGCTGAGTGTCCTGTTTGTAGATACTGGGAGATGGGGGCAATATTAGCAAAATGCAGCTGACTTAACAAGTTCAATCTTTGTAGAACACAGAATGTTGAAGGAAAACCACTCAACCATGCTAGTGTGATTTATTCACAGGCCCACTAGTCAGGGGACTGTGGAACTGATCCAAAGTGCTGGGGGAGTACTGTTCAGGGCAGATGGAGTGCGATATGGTGAGGGGGAAATCACACAACCATGCTGGCACCACCCATCCACAGACCTGGGGTTGGTCAGATGGGAGGCAATGTGAAAAAACTTAGAGCACCGGGGAAACCACACTTGGTGATGGACTGAGATGTGAGTGATATACTAAGCAAAAAAAAGCAGTTTGTATATAATCACATGCAGGAAGTGACTAGAACTTGAAAAAAATATTCCTGCAGCCCATTTAATGTTGCTGTGTGTCTCTTGGCAGCTTCTCTGATCTGTTTTTTTTTTTTTTATTGTCCCTTTGTCAGTTTTGGAGAGATGTCCTGTTCTTGGTAATGTCACTGTGGTGCACAATTTGCTACATTTGATGATGACCTTCACAGTATTTCATGGTACATCTAACATTTTCAAAATTCTTTTGTACTCTTCACTTGTTTGATATCTTTTGACAGTGAGATCCTGTACATGCTCTGTAAGCTGTTTTCAGATCATGGTTTCAACAGTCAGATGAAACCAAGACGTCAAGAAAAATGAAACAGCTAATCTTTATTTGGGGTTTATCAGAATCACTTCATTGATAACATGAATCTGATTCTGAACACAGTCGCATGGCCTATTATAAGTGTGTGCACACTTATGCAACCAGGTTATTGTATATTATTTTTTTTTCTGTTTCATTTTGTTTTTCACTTGAATTTTGTTGGCTGCAAACCCTAGCTGTAACCTTAATTGTAAAACAATCTGACATACACTGATTCTTAAGATGAGGGACAATATGTCTTAGAAGTTAGTTTATATTTTTTTAATACTATATAAATTGATATATTTGTAGACAAAGGTCTCAGTTAATGAACCATGTAAGAAGTTTTTCTAAAAAAAAAGCTTAATTCTAAAAATGGACATTTATTCACTTCATAAATTAATTTCTGTCAACTCTGTCAGACACACTGAAAAGCATGCGATTTTAATTTCATCCAACAAGAATGTAAAGTCCTCAATTATCTAATGTTGTTCAGTAAAGGAGTTAATGTCATGTATCACGAAACTCTGGACTCCAGTTCCCATCAGCCACTACATGTCATATGAGCACCTGATTTACATTCTGTTAATGAGCACTTGTGTGTATGTATATGTCATTGTCTGAACTGTTTCTCTGTCTTTCGTTGTCTTAGACTTTTGTCTTCTGTCACAGTGTTTTCTTTCATGCTACGGTGTTATGCCAAGTTGTCTTTGTTTTGTTATTTAATTGTTTAATAAACGTTAATATATTTGCAATTGCTTCTGCCTCAGTACGTGACAGTTAAGTAACTGTCTACATTTTTTTTCTGTTTTCACACTATTAGGTAAAATCCAGTTCCTAAAATATTTAGTTCTCTACCCTCCATTTTAATG